CACTCTGCCAAGCTTACCCTTACTAGTGCTTTCCAGTTCTTGAAGCATACAATCTTTCTGAATCCAGTGAATGTTGTGCCAGGTGGTTATAGGAGATATAAAGTGGTAGAGAAAGTTTCTCTATCTCTCCTCATTGAAGGCCAGCTTGACATGTCCTATATTTCTGTTTCCACCCGAGAGAATGAATCTGTGATGTTTCCTACACAAGACCCAAAGATCTCGCACAGCCTGCCCAGTCAGATTCTCATCTGCATGGCATTGGCATATGCCTGCACTAACTTAAGTGGCTGAATTAATCTGGATTTACACTAATGTAAGAGAGACTGATATCTAACACACTGTGCTGAGTGAGATCCTTGGCTTGTGGCCAGTGGATTATAGGGAAGAATGAAAGACAGTTACCCTGGATTTACATTGGGTTATCTGAGATTAATATAGGCCTTAGTATTTACAGAGCACCTACTGTAACTGCAAAGAAAAAATATGGCAAAACCAACCTATTACAAGGCTCCTATGTATCTTTCTTCTTCTAAAACTCTCTTCATTGGGCTATGTAATATAATAGGTTAATGAGCTAAACTGTTGCCTGAGGGACAGAAGTTGCATGTTTAAACTTCTACCCACAAAGCTGAAAATGCACCCTTGTGAAAGTCAGCACTAATGATGGAGCGAGTGTATCCCACTTGTAATTCTACCTTCCTTGATATAATACCAGTTAAAAGGAGAACAGTAAAAACAAAAAAAGAAACTGGGAACCCTGAACCATGCCGTGCTATTGGCTCAAAATACAGTACTTCAGTCACAGGACCAAAATAGAGTATGTCAAGGCATACAAACCAGTGACACGATTAAGTAAAACTGGAAATGAATTAAAACCCATTCAAATCTTGTGCAGAATTGCTCCTGCTGTATAATCCTGCCTCTTCAGTTATAGCCTAGAAGAGTCGAAAAGCCAACTGGAGAAAAGGAACTCAAAAAATACAGCTTTGGCTTGTATGTTTGCACCTAAGTGCTTTCCCTGCTGCGTTATTACTACAGCGGAAAGGGAGAGAGCTGAGAACACAGGGAGAGCCTTAGGTAGCTAACAAAGCAGTTCCTGGTGCTCTTTGCCTTCAAGCATAACTCATTTTTGTCACCCTCATAGGTAGGTAATGCATCAAGCCTGCATCTCCCCACAGCAGGTTAACAGTGCACCCCCCATCATTTGGGACATATGTTTTCAACTGTGTGAGTCAAGGTGGACTTCCACATGAAATCTGCTGCCTCCAAGCACAGCCTAGAGCAGGAGAATGGTCCAGACTCAGGCTGTGTGTCCTGCTAAGTTTCCCACATTCATAAAGACATTTTGTCCACTAGCTGCCTGTGCTCTTCACAGGAATGTAATCCTTGACATAAAGTTTGTCAGCTAAACACAATTCACCATGAAAGAATGAACTACTGTCTTGCTAAATCATCGAGGCATACTTTCAGCAGTCGAGGAGTCTGAGCTAGTGTTGGGAAACTGAGCAACCCATGTTTGCTCTTTTGCCTCGCACAACTACAGCAAAAATGCATGAATACTTCCAGTGCTAGAACATTTAACAGTTCAGATTTCAAACGAGGAGGAACTATTTCAAAGTAGAGAGAGTGTACGAGATGTTTGTTTCTTTAACTGAATGCAAACTGGATGTGGAATTTCCTTTTGGAAGAAATGATTGAATGGGAGATGGCTTGGATTCCCACTTGTATATGCATCATATATAAAAAAGGATGATATAATGAATTGCATTTCTGAAGAATCCAGGCAACAATAAAAAAAGTGATTTCAGGTTAACATCTTCAGTGTTGTTCTTACTGTATTTTCACAAAGACTCTTGGGCCAGGAATAGTTTAGTTAGGAGACTCATAATACCAGTGCTGTGTTTGTGTTAAGTGCTGATAATAATAATATCCCTTTAAGATAAGGGGTTTAAAAGAAAAGTTGCAGTAGTGCAGAGAACTTGCAAGCTCAATAGCAGTCGTAATGGAGGTTACTCATGGTTAACAGAACAAATACTCTGTCCTTAGATCTACACAGTCTGTTAATCTCAAGCACTGGACTGACAAAGGTAGCCAAAAAATAACTTTACAGACCTGTATGTTTGCAAAGTGAACTCAATACATCAGTTCCTCATGCAACACTTGAAATATTCTGTAAATACACTGGGAATTTACAAATACCAGAGCCAAGACTGCTTGCTGAATCTGCTCACTTAGCTCCAAATGCTTACCACAGTGATAATACACTGGAAGGACCATCTGCAAATCAACCTGACAGAAAATGGAATAACAGTCCTTTCAGAGGGTGGATGAGCAATGGGTGCAGGGCCCTTACTAAGGCCAGTTGGTGAGGTTTTAGCTGGTAGGTGCAGGTTAAAGATCAGCATGGCCATGCCTCCAGCCCTCACCTCTTCTATACAGTAGTGGATCCAGTGATAAACCCCCAACTTGTCTGGTGTAGATCTGGAGACTTTACTGCTGCCTATCCTTGTACCTTCTGAATGCAACAGGATCCAAGATCTTATACAGGATAACCATATTCATTGTTGTCAGATGTGAGATGAGTTATTAACACAGGGCTGGGAACTCCTTAGGGAAGTGATCTGTCTTCTCATGCACAGTCTGTGTATTCTATAAATACTACTATTACTACTATATAAATAATAGTCTGTCATTACTATCTCAGCAGACTGTTTTATTTACAAGTTGTATCTGGACTTGACTTTTTTAATGAGGTTTTGCCTCTTTGTTACATGACTTCCTGGTATCTTCAAACGATCTTGGTTTGGAAAATTAAGGATTGGAGGCCAAGTCACCATGCAAGCTGTTTGCACATGAAGCACATCAAAACCCCTTGCTTTAATCTGTGATAATTACTACTGTCAGTTAAATCTTGCCTCCCTGGTGGTTCTTAACAATAAGTAACAAACGCACAATGCATTAATTGCTAAAAGTTGTTGCTTGTTCTGAGATCAATTTGTATTAATAGGAAAAGTTTCCATCTTAGTCAGCACAAAGCTCTCTCTCACAGTGATGTTTACAGCACTGGGAACAAATGTTTTACAATGGAATTTTGCCCTGGATGTATGAATTTCAGAGTTCACTATAATCTCCCTGCCACAGACTTTTCTCCTTAAAGAAGGAACTGTTTTAAGCTGGACAACACCAAAGAGGAGTTGCTGATGGTTGTAAAGGCTCTTCCTCTAAGTCTAAGCCCTGCATTAGACCTTCTGGATCCTCATGATGAAAATCCTTCTCTCAGGATTTGTGGAGAATTGAATTCCACACCAAGCATTTATGTTTCTGGGACATACCTGTGTTTCTGGGACAATGCACTTTCTTCAGAGAATTGTATCTACCCATACACTTTCCTAGCCATCCAGTGGTGCCTTTTGTTTACCCCTCAGAGAATAAGAATCTAATTGTGTGATCCTGGTGTCCAGTCAGAATTAACCAATACATCTAGAATTTTAGATGCTCATTAAAATCCAAACCTGAAGTCCAAGAACATCCTTCTGGACTCACACAGGATGAAATTCTGTGGGAAGCAAAGAGCTGGCACAAGCTCTCTGCAGGCAGAAGCAGGCTATATATGCAGCAAATAAGCTTTTTTTGCCCTTTTGTATGGGAAAGATCCTGCTTCTGTGTTAAGAACTGCAAATAATAAGTGATTTTGCACTGATCCTGTCCTGTTCACACACTGACACTAAATCCATCAAGAACACTATTTACTGTGACCAATGTATGACTGCAGCCTTTCTATCAGTGAGCCAACATCTTTATCAGATTGGAACCACTCATAAAATGCTGAACGTTCAATCCTTGTGAGCAGTGAATGCATAATTTGTTCATATTCCTCCCTATAAAGAGAATCCGGGTCAATTTGCAGGCCAAAAGTCTTCGAATTCCACCAATAAATAAATAAATATTGTTATTTCACCTGTTAACACACGGGAACTGTTTGTTTTGGCCACTTTGCATGGACTCTGTGTGCCAGGTTACGAATAACGTTCAGTGCTCTAAACGGTCTGTGATACAAATTCCTGGCTCAGCATAAATACAAACCGTTTGTATGCAGCAGGTTCTTAATGCATTCTCCAGCACTGACACCATTAAATTCATGTGTCTATGGCAGAGTATAAGTATTTGTAATTCCTAATCACAATGTAAAAAAAGTAAAGCAATCACAGATAAGCCGATTTGCCCATCATGGGCCTCTGTTTCATTGGATTTTGCTTGCTGGAGTTTGGGTTTTTGGAAAGCCAAATGCAACTACTGTATCCCAGCGGTTTCAGCACATGCCATACATTCCAGGATACAAAGTAGACTTGCTGTTTTAAAGAACAGAACAGTTTCAAAGATAAGATAAAACCAAACTGGAATATAATATTCCTGGGAATATTCCTTACTTCTTAATGCAGACATGAAGTCAGTAATGTAAAGGATGCTTTAAGAACAACGCTGGCAAAGACTGAGTTTCTCACACCGCCAGACCTCCTTCCCAAGAAAAATTACCTATTACTTTAAGATCAGGTGCACATACAGACCAGACTCTGCTCTGATTTAATCCACAGCATTCAGGAATTACTAATGTCACTGGAGAAACTAAATTCAGACAGGCCTAAGTGAAGGTAAAATCCAGCCTCCAGGAAAGGACTGATGGGCTTGGCTTTGCCTTTAAATTCATGGCTTTCTTTCATATCAGGTGGTTGGAGTAAGTCTAGGACTGGACTATTAATATCAAATTAATACTCTATCCTGTTTGGAATACACTCCTCTCATACTGGCTAGGTTGGGGGCCTGTGTTGCAGTGTTTGGGTTATAAATGCAGAAGGGGAGAGTTTAAGCCCCAGCAAAGCTTCCAATCAAAACCAGTTAAACCCTTACTTTCTAACTATTTAAACTTCAAATGACCATGGAAGCACATGACTCTGAACACCTTTGCACTCAGGAAGGAAATACCAGGTAGTGCTCCCTGTTACCTTAGACCAATCGCCCGTTTTCCATTCGTAACAGCCTGTGTGATCCTCACACTCTTCCTCATCTCTTGGCCTGGTGGCTGCATCACATTTTCCTTGGGAATTCGTGCACGTCACTGTTCTCTTCTGAATCCCCCTGCCACAGTCTGCTGAGCACTGCAAAACAACAGGTATTTGTTTGCTGTTACATGATGCCTAGAAATGATAACTTTTATCGTGGTATCAGACCTAAAAGGAAAAGCTGGTTTTATGAACACAGAGTAAATCTGATAACCTGTAAGATTTTCTCCCAATAACCTAATCCCCTTTCAAAATAAATGAGCAATTTGAAAAGCATGAATCTGCTTGCGCCTGAAAAATGGCACTTGTGGAAATCAACATTCTTTGAAAAATACCAGCTGGCATTTTGCTAGGATTGATGTTACAGCTTAAAAACTCCACAAAATTTTGTGTTTAAGAGCTCATCCTCTGTACTGAAAAAGCACACACTGAGATTTACAACACAGAACTGCACATCTCTTGATGTATTAACTGAATCAAATGTCGGTGATAAACGCATTTCTAGATCACAGTAGTATGAGACCACTTTACAAACAGATTTTTGCACTACAGTTTGTAGATACCACGGCAAAGTCACAGTTCTTACACATGTTCTCATGTGAAATACATACATGACCTTTACCCTTTGATTTCCCATATGCTCATCACTATGTTAGTTCCAAAGAACCTCAAATGCACAAAGCGGATAGCTCAGGAGAGGCACTATTCAGTGAGCCACAGAGTTGTGATCAGCTTCCAACTGTGGCCAGCAAACTAGCCACAGTGCTAACATCAGCAGGGATGAAAGACAGACTTCTCAACACCAAAAGCATAAGCAAGGCCTGCTTGAAGTCCTCTAAGAAAGCAGCAGGCTACCAGAGCTACTAGAACCAGTTCCTGAAGGAAGACTCGATTAAAACATTTGGGGACTCTAACAAACATTCATGTGAATGAATACAAATCATCCACAAATGGTTTTGTGCCTGGGTACCTTCTAAAGAGCAGGGATATCTGGTCACCCATTTGTTATCTTTGCCAATGAAAATTCAGTTTTACTGGAGCATTGTCTTGATTTCATTGGCCACACTAGGTGGGAAAAGGACACTGGCATGAACTGAGACAGAATTTCTGTTTTAAATAACCAGGTTTGGTAATAGAGTAACAGATCTGCTGATGCTGCCACAGCCATCTGAGCGCATGGCACTACACAGCAGCATAGCCAGTCTCTCTGCTCTTCATTTCCATGCCACTGCAGCGGTTAAGAGTGAAATATTTTCTTGAAGAGCCATTGGGGACAGGTGGGTGGAAAAATGATATATGTACCAACTGAGATAAAAACTAACCTCCTCCACTGTGTCAAGTTCTCCCCTTGAGGGGATCAGCATGGAAAAGACAGTTGATTTGACACTGAATAAATAGCGAAGATATGAGATATTCTGTGAGGTCTTTTGAACGTGTTCCAAGAAGCTTCTCCATCCAGGGGGTCTATGCTGGAAACAAGCGTCAGCTTGATATAAATTACATCAAATGGACAAATCTCAGCATGCCTGTCTAACCATCTTAAAAACACAATCCAGGCAGTTCTGACCTGCTGGCCTTGTTAAGGACATGAATGACAAGCGTTTATGAGCTGGCAAGCAAACAGACATGCCTTTAAATATTTCAGAGCACTACAAAGTGACTTCTTGAAAATCTGGGAAACCTTCCACTTAATTTACTATGTGCTGCTCATGGCATGACCTCCTTACGGATGTAACATCTTTGTAGCAAGCACAATTGTATAGTTCTGCTACATACGGGGATGAATTCTTCCAGGCTTTGCAGAATTCCAGAAAATGCTTTGCTGGACTCCTTGGAGCACAAGATGTGCCAGAGATCCCAGGCTGGAGCTCCCTAGATGTTACCTAAAAGCCATGAATTTGCCCCAAAGTTGTATAGACTTTCCCAAGTTATGTATCGGTTTCCTCAGCCCCCAGGGTGGACTCCTCAGGGTTGCTCTCGTTCATCTCAAACTACAAAGCACAATATATAAAATCTTTCAAATGGTCCAATTTACTCAAAGTAAATCAAGCTGAAGCGGGAGTATTTTCACAGTAGGAGAAATCTCTAGGTGGGTTTTACAAGCAAGTCTGGGAAAAACACCAACTGTTTGTTCTTCCCACAAGCTTTTAAGTCATTCACAGATTAATACTGCATATACTTTCCTAGACAAAACAGCATTTGCAAAAGGTTGCCAACAGATCTTTGGTGGTCACATATAAATCACCCTCTTGAAGAGTTCTTTTTCTTTCCCTAAGCCGTCTGTTTTCATGACGAATTTCTTACCATATAGATTTTACAGAGACCCCACAACAGTCTAAACATGAATATGCGTAGTCCCAGAGTGTCCAGCTGGGATCATTAGGTCTTATTTTATTAACAAATTACTTTGTCAAATCCCACGAGGTTTTGTAAAGGAGCAACACAACTTTGCAGTTAAGACACAGCTCCTTTATTTGAAGGAAATCCGTGTTTTTTTCTACTCCAGTTCCCTAACAGTAGGAACATTCACCTTTTCCTGACAGTCTCTATTTTTGTCATTAAAAATGGGTTGAGCAGTACTTTGTCCAAAACAATCTCAAGTGTTTGGCAATAGGAGGGGAACTTAATTTTTTCCACACTGGAGATTGGATATTGGAATTTGCTTTGAGAACACACATTTTTGATGGGGGACCAGACATCAATGTGGTCAACTGGTTGTTGTTGTATAACCAAAGGGTTCAAAAACATACGTGAGAAAAATTGATTTATAAAATGATACCACTAATGTGATGTTTACTCCATAACATCAGATTAAAATGCTAAGGATTAAAGTGATTACCACTGAAGAAAGTCCTAGTTATGAGAAGTGCTCAAACTGGCAGAGCATCAAATGTGTCTTGGAGTCAACTGTGCTACATAATAGCAGAAATGTGCCAGAACAAGAATGAATTTAAAATCACGAGTGGGAAATTGCAGACATGACAAAAGTAAATATATCAAAGAAAAACCAAAACAGTTATTGAGAAAATGATAAAAAATTATTATGCATTTTTAAATGAGTTATGTGGTCTCAAATACAGACTATTTCCACTCTGGAAAAAGTCATCTGTATCTTAGCCCATTTCATATAAAGGAGAGTGAAGTACCTGGGATTGTTAACAAAAGGCCCAAGTAAAACAGGTAGGAACTGCACCATAAGATTAGTCTCAGCTATGAACAGTTCAGCTGGCTCAGCTATAGGAAACAAAGAGGGCATCACCTGGAAGGGTTCCTTCTAGAGCACACAGACAACCTATCAGACAACTTACTAAACTTCAGTGTGTTTCTCCACGTGTTTTGAAAAGAAAGAACTCAGCAAACAAATCTCATGCATTAATGAACAGATACAGCATCCTACTGAAAGAAAACATTACCCTCACTTAACTAGGATTTCCTATTCAAGGCGGACAACGGAATCACACTGTGTTTGTTAAGAGACACTGTTCCTCAGTGCAAGATCTCTTGTATCCTGAGTTTCTGTGACAATGTTTTAAATAGGAACTCACTGTTTAAAAAGAGATGAACAGCAGGGAAAGATGCTTCCCACAGAAATGACTGTAGCTGACCAGTCCCATAACTCAGCCAATCTGGAATGAGACTGGTAATGCTGTAAGCACTGCACCAAGAGTGAAAGGATCTTCTTATGATTCAGATGAGGCTAACAGATACAATATTAAAAATAAATGGACAACTTCTGGCTCCCTTCTGGAATCAAGTTCCTACCTTTGACCACTCTGATGCTTCCCAGATAGAAAGGCAGTCCCGACCTTCACAGCTTTGTACTGTTGTAGGTTTGTTGCCAAGGCAGTAGAGGTCTCTTGTGTTAACGTAGGTGCCATTTTGCAGCTGATAAACACAAGTCACTTCCCGGTGCTGGACACCTTTCTCACAAGTGGCAGAGCAGGGACTCCAATGGCCAGTCACCCACCTGTGAAGGAGCCAGAGAAGGAATGTTAAAAACCTGGTGGCATAAAGCATCGTGCTTCATTTAAAACCAGCGAGAAATGGGCAACTCTTCCTGGGTTTGTGGATTCTTTGACGATGCTGTATTGTCATCACACTGAGATCACCTGATCACCTTTGGGAGTTGAAGTGTGTAAAGCAGAAAAGTGTTTGCATACAAGAGAATATCCAACGCAAAACTCTGTATAGCTCCCTGTAATCCTCAGTCTCTACAACATGGCTGCATTTTTCCCTGGAACGAAAGACTTGTCTGCAGGTGATCCGATCCTACAACTATTGTTGCCTTTGAGAGGAATACAGACTACATCTGCATGCATGTCTGCACTGTGCCGTGGAGCTGTGCAGAGAACCTACACTTACTATGTACAGACTGGGATGGTGCTACAGTCAGATGACTTTCCTGCATCCAGGAACCCCAGCCCTACCCTATATACTCTCAAAGAATATAAATCCTCTCCATCCCAGGCTACTAGAATGCAAAGACATCTCCTGCCTCACTTCTAGTTTACCCCCTCACAGCCACGGGTGAGATTTCATTTTCAATCATAGTTGGATTTTCCAGGATATTTAATTGGAATCTCATCAGGTTGAAGTTCATGGCACCAGGCACCTTAAAAGTGGAGAGTAACTGACTGCATTCTTTGTTAGATAATCTGAACTGCATTTAACTGCCAAGGTTCCCACTGGCTCCAGCAAGAGCTGAGAGCACCACTGTGGTTAGAGCCAGGCTACAAGGCAGTGAATAAAATACCCCAAAAGAGTCAAATTAGGAGTAGGGAGGGACCATTTTTTTCCTAAAGACAAGCAGCATCCATCTTTACGCTTCCTGCAATCTGTCAGTGTGGAACATGCTCTTTGTAATTACTGGCATTCCTGTGTGAAGTGAAGGACCGGAACAATAACTGTGAAGGTGCTGTGCACCGGAAGGCTATCATCCCTTTCTCACCAGGTAATTGGCCCTGTAGCCTGCTATTTAGGACTGTCATCTAGATTAGTATCCTTATACCATGAATCTTTTACTTGTCACCCAATCCTGGGTTATCTGTTACGATAAGGGGCTCAAATAAGTCTTCTCAAAAACAAGCCTGGTCAGAAACGCTATTTCACTTTGCTGAAGGCTCCCATGGTCCAGTTACAGCCTACTTACTAAGCACATTTCTTTAATGCTGCTCTGTAACTTCTAAATGAATCAAACAACTGTTTCCCATCTTCCAGTTCCTGAACGGGGAAAAACTGGTTCAGCACAATCTGTAGAAACATCACGGTGTAATTGTCATGAATTCATTTACCAAATGCCATGACTGATGTGCTGGTGTGGCAGCACTGCTGACTGCGTTGACAGTGAAGGCAGAAGCCATTTGGTTGGAGCAGGATGGGAGAGGGCAGGCTGGCCACCTGTCTTTTGTGGGCCTCACTCAAATGCTTCTGTGCATTAAAGCAGTTGACAGATCTGTGAATTTCCATTGGCTAACACAGCTGGAGAGACACCAAGCGTGTTTCTCTGGACAGTAGTTTTGGTGCATCTCTGTGGCTGAGTGCTTGGTATTTTGCTTACGGAATGGGAAAATGCCAGCTGGGTAATTGAATACTGGGGCTGAAAGACTGACAAAAATAACCTTGAAGTGCAGAAATCAGTGTTCATGAAAATAAATAGCCAGGCTCCCTTGATATCAGCTGGGCTCTGCCTTGTCAGAGCAAGTGTGGAGGGAGTTATCTATCTGGGTGAAGGAACCGCTCAACAAGGGCATGGAGGGGGAAAGAGTGACTGTGCTTTATGAGCTGAATGTGAGTCACAGGGCTGGGAATGGTTTCTGTACAGGCTCCACTGAACTAATATTCACTTCAGCACTGTACTCTCACTGTGATCTAAAGCTACTGGCAAAAGAAAAAGGGAAAGGGGCTGAAAGCAGAGGAGAAAGATAAAAATACATTCTTGGCAGGGGCTGGCTGTGAGCTTGCATTTAGGATGGGCAGCACACAGCATGCCAACTATTTCCAAGATGCCTTCAGAAGTGAGGTTATGACTTTCCTTTCAGGAAGGAAAATTCTTTTTTTAATGTTTTTGGTTGTTGCTCTTGTGCAAGGGAGAAACAACCTCATTTGTGCCCTGTTCAGTGGTTGCTAGTTAGTGACCTTCAGCGGGCTCTAGCACAGATACAATAGAGTGTAACTGTAAAACTGGCACAGAAAAGACATTGTCATCATCATCATCATGAGAAGAATGGTTCCACAGGGCATGAGGCAAACCCCAGGAATCAATACAAAGCTGTACCAGCAGTGAAAACGCAATCTCCAACTTTTTTGTCAGAGTGGCATCTGTGGCCAGCTTCAGTTACAGATCCACTACATCCATCCCTGACCTGAGACCAATGGTTACAGATTAGGTAGGGCTATAGCATAAGGGATCTCTAAAACCTCACAGCCCATGAGTCCTACACTCCTGACATCTGCTGCTAACATGGAATCCAAATACTTATAAATTAAAGGCTATTTTAAAGTGCTGGGTTTAGTTTCATGTTCAAGAAACGTGACCGATTAAATGTTTAAATAATAATATCAGTAAAGTAGGCTATCATATATTGACCACAGAACTTCACCCTCTCAGTGAAGTCTCTGCTTCATGGCTTGTAAAAAGTATCTAGCAAACAAGTAAATGTAAGTCCTACATCCAGTGCTGGCAGTGCACTTCTCTCCCTTTCCACTTCTCCCAAAGCCCCCTTCATAGGCAGCTGAAAATGTTACTGTATTGCCTGTAAGACACAGAATCACTGCAACTATATTTCAACATTGTTCACAACAAAAGTTGGAGGACAAGGGATTTATGGATAAAGTAATTAAACATGAAAAATCCAGAAATTTTCATATTTGGTAAAGGAATGTGCAGCCAGGTATTAGCATATCTACTATCTCAAGTAAGATACATGCAGGGAAGAAAAATGTGATGTACAAATAGTATCACATTATGGTTGCTATTAAATTACACTACAGACAGATTTTCCTCTCTACACTGTCATTACACCTTTTGAACACACCTGGATGTGTTTAAAAAGGAGAATTACTTTTAATTTCTTTAAAAAACAGCATTTTTCTTATGACAAAAAAGAATTCCAGCTTTCCAACTCGGAACACCGAGCTCTGTGTTATTAACTAAGCCAATTAACTGCTGTACTCTAAGCCCTGTGTATATCATATACAGCATTTGGCTTCCAGTTGTGTTTTAAGCCTGCAAACTGATCTTAGGGATTGCCTGACACCACGGTTCTTTTCAGTTTGGTCTTTCCCTCCCAGGTTATAACCTATCTTCTGTTGGACCATGTGAGTGCTCTCACTGGAGTCCCTGGAGAGCCTCTCATTTTTCCAGCAAGCACTGATTTATGTGACAAACACACTTATCTTTCTTACAACCATAGGTAGGGCTTTATCCGTGGTATTAGTTTTTGTAATCTTACCTCTACAGAAGATTCAAGAGCTAGATGATTCCTGATGGTGGTTAGATTTAGGAAGAAAGTGATGAGCTTTTAAGCACAGATTTTGTAACCCAGTAAGTGGACGTCTTTCTAGCTAAAAAAATGCCCAGAAGGATGTGTTTTTCTATAGCCTCAAAAAGCTGGGATGGGCAGGACATGCAATCTGAGAGGGCTGTTTTAAATCTTTGCCTTCTGAGTCTTCCTCAACCTCTGACCTCTCAGTATCTCTGCTGAGGAATTGGGAGTTCTTCTTCTAATCTGCTTTGGCAACACTCATCTGGCAGGCCCCTGGAGCAAACTTGAAATATCTTTTGGAGGTTCAGTTCATCATTTGATCTTTCCATGGTCTGGATTAGTCATTAACCTTGAATTATCTTCTCTACCTACTTGCCTATGACTCCTACCTTTTCTATGAAAAAAATGTCTACAGCAGTACGTACATAACCACAGGGGAGATGAATGTCTGCAAATGAAGACTTGTAGCTAAGGATTTTGGGGAAAAAGGCTATGAAGATAAAATGGGTCAAGGCTAAAGCATGAGGTGGAGGAGTGCAATCAAAAGACATGAAGTCACTTTTCAGAGATTTGTAGCCTTTATAACACAAAGGTATTACATGTTCTAGGATAAATATTGCAGCCCATTAAATTTCACCTGGTTATTTCTGTCTTGAGCCCTGCAGAAGACCAGCGCCTGCAAGCTGATTCTATTCCACCATCTAAACATCCATGGCATATTTGCACCTGCACTCACTATCTACAGGGATTGCATTGCTTTTGTTCCCTCCACAATGCCTCGGTGGAATTAACTTCCCTGCTTTCACAACAATAGCTTGGATGTGACCAAAGACATTTACAATTAACACATTTTTTTTGTGTTTTTATGGAACCTGTTTGCTTAGAACTGGCTCTTAACTACAACTAGTTTAGTTGCAATATAATATAATGCAATATAATGTTGTAATGTAATGTAAGATGTTAGCTGAATAAAGTACCAGAGGAAATTTGCTACAAGACATAACTAGTTTGAAAATCAGTTGTGACAGAAACTAATCCAACAGAGTGTAATCTGAGGCTTCTATTTCTAGCAGATTTTGTTCCATACCTTTTGGTTTAACATATATCCTTGAACTAATGTATAAGTGAGAATAACTCTTATGTCTAGTTGGGACTGGTTGTCTTTAGCACCAGTTTGTGATGCAAAATCATGTAGAAGATGCTCTTAGTTTTCGTCCGGATGAAACTGTGCCTCTACTGATGTTAGGCAAAACTCAGACCAATTTACAGTGGGGCCAGATTTCACATGGGATAATTTTAGCAAGGAGAATTGGAAAAGATTTTTGGGAATCAGTCATGTGGAGCTGACAGTCAGATGTTTTCTGCTCACAGCTATCAAACCGAGTTCGTGCTTGAATATGTAAAAGCAAGAGAACACTGTTTACAAATGGACTCATGACTGCCATGAAATACACACACTCTGCTATGTTATCTTTCTCTCCTT